TCGAAGACTTCCACTTTAGAATCCACTCTCAGCTCCCAAATTGACTCGATCAACGACACGAGGCTGAGTATCAGAGCCAGAAAATTTAAGCTTCGCCGGAATTTGAAGGAGCCCGAGTCGACTCGGGACGGAGTCAGCTCAGTGCAAGTTCCGAGTGACCAGAACAACGAGGGTTCGACTGTAACTACTGCCGGGAATGACGACCCAGTTGGTGAATCGGCCGACTCGGCCGCACAACTCGGTGACTCTTCGGTTAACCTTCTTGTGTTTTTGGCCGGGATGATAATCAAGGCAATTGGACTCCAAATTAACTTATTCATTAGCATCTTTACATTTCCCATATGGATTTTGCACCATTCTTACATGCTTGTCATCGACCCCTTCCAAATTGTGCGTCGAGGCCGAGAGTATTTGATCACAGAGGTGTTAAATTTATGGAAATTGGCTGGTGGGTATGTGAGTCCTCTAGTTTTCCAGTGGTTGAAGGACAACAACTCGGTCTGGAAGGTGGCATTGCGATTTGGGTGGGGTTTGTTTTGGTCATGCTATGTTTGTTTCGTTTTGTGTGGTCTTTTGGTCATGTCGCTTGTGTTTAGTGGAGTTTTGATGAGGAGCATCGTGGCCGAGCCAATGCATATGAAGGATATGTTGAACTTTGATTACACTAAGCACAGTCCGGTGGCCTATGTACCGGTGATGTCGTGTGCCGGTGCCAGTTGTGGTGCGGATTGTAAAGAAAAGGTTCAAGCTGGGGAGAGTTTCGGGTTTCGAGCTATACCTCGTGGTCACAAAGTGGCGGTCACTGTTTCATTCGTATTGCCGGAATCAGAGTACAACAGGAATCTTGGGGTCTTTCAGGTACTTGATTTACTAAATGTGAATTTCCATTTCTTGTTTCAGACTAATATCACGAGTCTTGTTATTTGGTTAATACATAATAAATTTGGTTTTTTCAAGTTTGCTGTTTCATGATGAACTTTAGTTTGTCCTCAAATTATTGCATAAACAATAATCGGACCGATTGCTAATGTAAAGGTATGAACATAATACTGGTATATGGATCTTAGGTTCGGGATGGACCTAATTTGTATGTGATAGTTGTCACTTGATTTTAGAAGGCATAGGCACCTCAGAAAAATGTGTGATATGAACATTAATTAGTAAATCTTTCAGTTGGATCTAAAGCATGGATTTTTCTAAAGAAATCTGGTGATGCTGCTCTTATGTTTGGAGATCTAGTTCTCAGTTATCATCACCATGAAATGTTTTCCTGGTATCAGGGGAAGTAAGGAAGTTGAGTTGTTGACACAATGGGAAAGAAAAGAGATAGTATATTTATTTCCAAGCTCAGTGAACCTTGTTTACATCCATTTTTCAATTCATCAAGAAGAGCGTCCAAATTAAATATTTTTTTTACGCTGAATTTAGTAGGACTATGATGAAGTTGCAATACAAGTACATGATAAAATACTGCAGATAACTTCATATTGTGATATTTGCAACTGGATGGTGTGATCTCAAGCCACTTTTCACATTGTGCAATGTAATTGAAACCCAAAAGAGGGGAAATGCTATTTCCTTCAAGCTTATCCTTCTTTTTCCGTCATATTTTTGTTGTCTATTTCTTTGTGTACTTATTGCAATGGATTCTAAAGTAGTTACAAGGTTTTGCTATCATGATTCCTTGTTTCCATTTTCATATTGATGAGTGTTTATTTGACCAAGTTCATTTTGTTTATGTAGGTCAGGGTACAGTTCCTGTCTTTCGATGGTAAAACCCTTGCCAGTTCAAGCCATCCATGCATGTTACAATTCAAAAGCGAGCCTATCCGCCTTCTATTGACTTTCCTTAAGGTTGTTCCTCTTGTTGCTGGCTATGTTTCAGAATCCCAAACTCTGAATCTGAAATTCAGAGGGTTTATCCAAGGTGAAGTTCCTACTGCCTGCTTAAAGGTGACAATTGAACAACGTGCAGAATATCAGCCTGGTGCCGGTATTCCCCAAATATATGATGCAGCGGTGACCCTTGAGTCAGAACTTCCCCTATTTAAAAGGTTTATATGGAATTGGAAGAAATCTATATTTGTATGGATGAGCATGATGTTGTTTATGATGGAGATGCTCGTTACTCTAATCTGCTGCAGACCATTAATTATTCCAAGAGCAAGACCAAGGGTTGGTTCTGTTAGCAGCAGTGCCATTGAAAGCAGCCTCCCAGTACGAAATTAGTAGGGAAAATGCTGGTAACTATGGAAGTAGGGAAACCTTTGATATATTTTGTCACTATTTAACCTATTCAATTCTATAGTCTCTAACTTAAATTTTTCCACTCATTTTTTTATAACCACGTTGTAAATAATGTTTTTCGCATGTTGGAACGCTTCTTTCCTTATAAATGTTGGAGGAGCAGTGTTTTTTTTAACACTTATATTCTCTATTTACTCATTTAGCCATTGGCGTTTTAGCTGTTGTACAAGTGAATTATGTTGCTCTTCAGTTCACTCATTTAGCAATCTTATGAAATGGTTTTAAATTGGTTAGGAATTTAGGAAATTTTCTGTAGGACACAAGACATAACCAGTGGAAACCAGATTGATGGACAGCTCTGTTCTTGGAAACTCTTCAGATTATGACAGTAAAGGTGATAACAATCAAACATTGCATCAGAACATGTTTTCATTTTGCTGCGTCAGGTCACTCTACTGTTGTCTCACCAAACAATGGAAAGTGAGAGGCGTTCTCTGTTCTGGGCAAATGTCTTAACCACTTG